AGGGCTAGAAACTGAGGATCAGGTAAAATATGAATCTGATAAGGTAGTTTCTAATAATTCATGAAATTGATTAGAATATTCCCACAATTGTAAGTAGATGTGAGATCTATAAATCTTTGTTATTCATAGTTGTAGAAGCGGTTTTTGTTGGAATCTTTTTTTTTCTTTTAAGGAATTGGTTAATCGTCCAGTAACAAGTAAGAATAGCAAATTTTATTCGATAAACGAAAAAGAACAAAGAATGAAATAATTGGAATCACTAATAGTGCATGCAGTGTTGTATTAGATCAAAATCGGAAGGTTCTTTCTTGACCTAACTACAAAAATGCAGATTTTTGGAAAGATACAAAATAGAACTTCTAAAGCAAAATAGAATAGAAATGACTAGTCTTAGAATATAGTTGAACCAAAACACCTATTTTTTTTTCGAGTGATCATGTGATAACTTTTTGTTCTCATTCATTCAAGATATTATATAAGTGAACCTATTACGGAATCTAATTAGTTAAAATCAAAGTAAAAGTTTTATAAGATTACTGTTCGCTCTAAAATATAAAATTGATTCGATACAATAAAAAAAAAAAAAGAAATGATAAAAAGAGGAATAATTTAATAATTTCATTCCATAATGATTCGAAAAGACTTTCATTTTAAAACGAAATTAAATGACCCAGTTCTTATTATTCGTTTCTAAGTTGAGTTGAAAAATTATCCAAGAATGAATTCGCTGATTGGCGGTATGGGTAGATGTTACAGATGATTAATCCATTTTTTTTTATACAGTTGTGACTTTCTCCTTGTTAGTGCTGTCTATAATGATAGATCAATCAAAACCTTTCAATTGGACTTATTCTTTCAATTGGTATTTTTTTTATCTCCTATTTTGCAAAAAAGGAAACTCAGGTAAGTGCTTTTTTATAAACATATGTATAAAAAGAACATATTTCATTTAGCTCCTTCATGCTTACCATAACTAGTTATTTCGGTTTTCTACTGACGGCTTTAACTATAACCTCAGCTCTATTTATTGGTCTGAGCAAGATACGACTGATTTGAAATTCATTGCACAATTCATAAAAGGAAATCTTTCCGCGAACTTCTGTGTATTTATAGTTACTTACCGTGTCCATTGCCAATTCTTGGTCATTGAGATTCATGGTAATTCAGATTAATATTTAGGTATAGATATTACCTCTTTTTTCTCCTTTCAAACAAATTGAAATGATTGAAGTTTTCCTATTTGGAATCGTGTTAGGTCTAATTCCTATTACTTTGGCTGGATTATTTGTAACTGCATATTTACAATACAGGCGTGGTGATCAGTTGGACCTTTGATTAGATTAATTAACATCTCTTTTTTTGATTGACCTCCTCCTTTCTTTAATATCCAGGAGGTCAAATTCAGATTGCCGTTCCAGTTAGTGCTTCAACCGAATTCGATCGAAGAAGATCCGAATCACGCTCTGTAGGATTTGAACCTACGACATCGGGTTTTGGAGACCCACGTTCTACCGAACTGAACTAAGAGCGCTTTCTTATCATAAAAGATAAGACTGTAAATAAAAGGATTGGCCCCAATACATCTTGTATGCATACACTATCATAGTATCATAACAATGAAAGATTCTATATGATATGTCCAATGTGAATTGATCTCAAAAAATCCCTCGTTACTGCTCAAAGGAGCAGTAATAGGTAGGGATGACAGGATTTGAACCCGTGACATTTTGTACCCAAAACAAACGCGCTACCAAGCTGCGCTACATCCCTTCCATTGGTCTACAGTGTCATTGTAGAGAATTCTTGTCTTGTTTTCCACATCGTTATCTCCTCTATTAAAATCTAGAATTTTTATGTCCATTTCGTCTTTTTGTTCTCATTTAACATATAATAATAGTAAAATACTTCTATCTATATGAAAAATGGAATGGAACCCCTAGGAAAAATAAATGAGTTGGGGGAATATTGGGGAAGAAAGGACTTTCTGTATTTAACAAAAAGTCAATCTTATTTACTGGATGATTGTACATTTCAATATGTTTATGTATTACAATAAAATGAAGGAGGTTTTTCAATGCGAGATCTAAAAACATATCTTTCCGTAGCACCGGTATTAAGTACTCTATGGTTCGGTTCTTTGGCAGGTTTATTGATAGAGATTAATCGTTTTTTCCCGGATGCGTTGACGTTCCCCTTTTTTTCATTCTAGTTATTGACGTGGGAAGGAATAAAGAAGATTAGAGATACAATTAAATACCAGCCCCCCTTCTTTTCTCTTTTTTCCCTTTAAAAAATTTTAGAATAAGGGAGGAAAGAGAAAGAATAAAAGTGCATTCAACAGCTGCGAGACTCGGGTTCAGGTTGGAATTAAATTAATATGAAATTTCTATGTATTCAATTTCTATGGAAGTAGAATACAAACTGTGGTTCTAGGGAAAGAGTATTATATAAGATACTTATATGAAATACTGTACTGTGATTTGAAATCTAGTTTAGAAATCTTTCTATCTTATTTGCTATATTGATTGTAGTGAAATCTTGCATAAGAGGATAGTAAGTTACAAATTCTATTTTGTTTTTTCCTTTCTTCTTTTTCGTTTCGGATTGAAAGAGGAAGAGTTGAGTAAATGAAAAATCCAAAGGAGGTTCATGGCCAAGGGTAAAGATGTGCGAATACCGGTTCTTTTGGAATGTACCGCTTGTGTTCGAAACGGTGTTAATGTTAATAAGGCATCAACGGGCATTTCCAGATATATTACTCAAAAGAACCGGCACAATACGCCTAATCGATTGGAGTTGCGAAAATTCTGTCCATATTGTTACAAACATACGATTCACGGGGAGGTAAAGAAATAGATCGAACCGAGCACCTGCGCCCTTATCTATCTTACAAGGAAAAGGAAAAAATGACATTATATATATAACATATTTAACATAGTTAAAGATAATTATAAACAAACCAAATCCTATTTTTTTATTCTAATTAGAGATACGGCTGAAATAGGATTTTAGGGATAAGAAATAAACTAACCAAACCATGGATAAATCCAAGCGAACTTTTCTTAAATCCAAGCGATCTTTTCGTAGGCGTTTGCCCCCGATCCAATCGGGGGATCGAATTGATTATAAAAACATGAGTTTAATTAGTCGATTTATTAGTGAACAGGGAAAAATATTATCTAGACGAGTGAATAGATTGACCTTGAAACAACAACGATTAATTACTATTGCTATAAAACAAGCTCGTATTTTATCTTTGTTACCTTTTCTTAATAATGAGAAACAATTTGAAAGAACCGAGTCGACCACTAGAACTCCTAGTCTTAGAGCCAGAAAAAGATAGGTTTACTCTTTATTCACTTGAATTCGAATTCCCATCCGAACTCAAACGGGGATTGATATTTTGTTGGAAAAATCCAAGAATCCGGATTGAATTCTCGTGTCGTAAGAAAACAAATAATAATCTGGGAAGAATAAATTTTTTTATTTAACTTGTTGATTCATATTTATTTTGACTACTTTCTCATATCTTATCATATTCTATTCATTTTTATTCGACCTTCCCGGAGTTCATTCTCCGGGCAACTCCGTTTAACCGGTGGATTCCCTCCAACCTACTTCTTTTATGATCTCATTGGAAATCATATAAAGACAATTCCTATTTGATATAGCTATTTGTGCAAGTATTTTACGATTAAGAAGCAACTGTCTCTTGTACAGACCGTTTATTAATCTACTATAACTATAGCATACCCCCCTTTCACGAATTGCTGCATTTATTCGAGTGATCCACAAACGACGAAAATTGATTTTTTGCTTATCCCTATCCCGATGAGCCGAAACCAAAGCTCTTATTTTTTGTTGAGTAATAGTTCGAGTAAGTCTTGAATGAGCCCCCCGAAAGCTTGATGCAAATAAACGAATTTTTGTTCTACGTCTCCGAGCGATATATCCCCGTCTAATTCTGGTCATTGAATAAATGAAACTTTCACGAATAACTAATAGATTTCCTTTCTTTCAGTTATTCTTTTGCCCCTTTCCTAGTATATTAATAACAAAACGGATTTTTCCAATGTATAAACTAAAAATTCCAACGGCTTTGGCTACTATAACCTTCCCAACCACGATTTTTTCTTTTTTATAGGCGTTTCGCCTCGAAATACGAAATTGTACTAGACTAGGTATTAAAAATAAATAAAAAAAATAGCAATGATAAAGAAATAGTGGATTCCATCGTTTCTATGGTTACTTCTTAAACGGTGAGGTCTTCTCTATACACCGGAGCCTTTACTTCATTTAATCAATGTTATTGCTAACTTGTATAGTTCACATTCTTCGGCTCTACCCATGAATTATCCAGTAATAGGTCTTTCACAACGAGCTCTACCTATACAGTAACGGTATTTAATTATGAAGGTTGGCTGGGTAGCTGACCCTGTTAGTCCGTTCTTGCAAGAGGGGTCTATATTAACTAAGATTTCCTCCGCTTAATGGATAACCATTTGCTACCAATGGAGAATTGCTTCTCATCTTGAATTGAGGTGAGTGGATTTACACCAATAGAAACCATAAATTTCATACACAATAAAAGGGATATGCTCCATTTTCTTATTTTTAGATAGGAAATGTAGTTCGTTTTCCGTTCTATCCTATTTGATCATTGATATTCGAACATGGCTCTCTTTCCTTTGTTCTAGTTCATGATCTGAACGAGTCGCACATACACCCTAGTACATGTTCCTCGACGCTGAGGGCATCCCCGAAGCGCGGGGGATTTTGTGACATTTCTAATTGGCTGTCTTGTATTTCTAATAAGTTGTTTAATCGTTGGCATGTTGAATCATATACATAATGGACTGGTTTAGATCGATCCTAACCGCATGATTATGAATTCCTTTTATTGAATAGAATAGTAAATAAAAGTCATAATATATTAATATGAAACTCGGCAGGGGTAATTTCAAATCACGAATTGATGCGAAATCCAGGCTATGCTATTG